CGTATTATTTCAAGCTTTGACTTATAATTTTTGGATGCTCCAATAAGTTTTATAGTCTATAAATGTTAGTAACTCAAATAAATCCTAAACCAAAATCAAATCAAGACTAATACTAAAACATTCAATTCAATTGTACTATGAATAAAAATAGTGTGGGATATCTATTGTTTGTTTTTTCCATGAATTAAATAAAATATACAATATAACTTATTTTTCTTTTAGTGGTTAGTCATGTAAATAATAGTACTTATTAGTCGTAATTTTAAATTATATTTATTTTCATTATAGCTTATTAATAATATTTATTTTATGTAATTTTATTATTTTTATTGTTGAATATTTTAGTACAATGCCATGACTCATCTCATATTTATGTTATTTTATTGAAAACACCTTATATAGTTCTGTCTTACTAGGATTAAATAAATATTTGGAGCACAAATTTTACGTTTTGTACAAAGAAGACTTTATGAAGAAAAAAAAACCGAAAAAACCCGAAAATCCGAGATTAAAAAACCTGACTTTTATTGGTTTGGTTTGATATTTAGATTTAATAACCCGATACAATTAGTTTGGTTTGGTTTGGTAATTAGAAAATTCGAGCCAATCTCACATATGTACACCCTTAGTATAAACATTACTCGTATTCATATATATAATTATTTTACAAAAGAATTACCTAACCTTCCACTTGACCGTTTAAATTAAAAGCTGACTAATGAAAAATATGTGTATAATTAATGTATAACAACTAAAAAAATAAGCAATAAATCAGGCAAAATATTTGTGTGAATATTTCTAATTATACTCACCTGTTGATATCAGCTTATGACATACTAAATACAAAAATAATAGTTAAAATGAAAGTTATAAATAATTAAATATAAAAGGATAGAGGTAAATTAGTAATTTCTTTTTCTAAGACTTCAGATTTTTATCTTGCAGAAAATAATAAAATATCATAGATTTATATGCATCATCACAATACAGGGTATCTTGGACCAATAATTCGTGCGAAGTAGAGTAGTAAACCAAACTAGTAGTACATGTCGATAGTTTCATAGAAAAAATGGCTGGTATTAATTTGTCTGCTAATTAGTTTATTTGTAGCAAACTAAGGAGAAAGTAATAGCAGGTTTGTTACTCCATTTTGGTACCACAACTATTACACTTATTTCCCAAATTTATGTTGAATCAGTTATATATGTTCTCATTAATTATGCCACTTAACTTTTAATATCATATAATAAAACAATAACAAGTCACGGAAAAAGTGGAGTATGTACTTATAACTTGTAAGAACAACTTAGGGAAAAAACTAACAATGGATGTGGTAGATTAATAAGTACTTTTTACCCTTAGCAAGAGGTTTCAGGTTCGAGCATGAGTATAGAATCGCCTTTGTTTGGCAACGTTTTACCTCCCAGTATGAAACTTTTCAGTACGAATCCATATTTATAGCCTCTTTAGCCCAACTTTTTTTTTTCCAGCCAAAATTATATTTTTTTTTGCTGCCAAAAGCATTATTTTCTAAAAATTGAGGTGTTTGACTAAGCTTTTAGAAGGAAAAAAAATGCGTTTGAGGAGAAGCGTAATCGATTTTTGAAAAGTATAAAAAAGTAACTTTATCTCCAAAAGTACTTTTATAATAAACACTTTTGAGAAAAATTATACTTAAAAATAATATTTAAAAACTTGGCCAAATACTAATTAATATTTAAAAATATTTTTTAAATTAATTAGCTCAACATAAATTATTTATTACTAAAATCACTTTTTTTAAAATTATTATTAAAAAAAATACTTCTATTATTTTTAAAAGTTTGACCAAACATATTTTAATGCTGAGCATTTGAAAAAAAGAGTTGGCAAGAAAAACCAGTTGTCACGTGTTGAGGGTAGAGCCCACAAAATTGATGTAGTGGCTGAGACAGTAATTAGGAGGGTGATGAGGTTACCTGTTGGTCAAAATACCACCACCCACCAACAGGCAAAAAAAATGAGCATTAAAATCCACCAAAAATACAGTAGTACTTCTCCCGATTCACAATAAATAATTATTTTAACTTTTTATTTTGATCTAAAATAAGTGTTTATTTATATAATTAAAAAAAATTTAATTGTATTTTTTTAAATTTTTTCTTTATTTACATATTTTATGTGTCAAGGTAATAATTAATTAAAGTTAATTTAATGAATATATTTTTTTTATCTCGAAGTTCATATTTTTTTAATGAGTATGTCAACTGTGCTACCTAAAATAAATAAAAAAAGGAAATTGTGGCGCGTAAAGAAAAGGAGGATAAATGTCTGCCGGGTATAGATGAGCCAACCCTGTTGCCTGCCGCGAAGCAGACAATTAGTAAGAGAGGGTACACTCATTTAACTTAACGCCCACTTCACTTTTCCCCTACCCTCCGTTACTATATTTACACCCCTATTTAATACCTACTTTATGTCTATAAAAGAATGATAATATCCAGAAAAATAATAATGACATTATTAGTTCTTTTTTCTTTTTTTCATCAGTATTTGATCCGGATTAGAATTTCTATTAATTCAGAATTTCAGATTTACATTGTATAATGCTCACTAAGAAAAAAGACACTCTATTAAATTCTTTTCTTATTCTTAAATCTCGAATCTGAAACTTTTATTTAAAATGAATATTAATCATCTCAATAAGTTGAGTTTGATTTCAAATATTTAGTGTTTTAAGAAGATAAATAGTTTTTTTTCTTCAAATTCACTCTTATTATTTGAATTAGTAAAATATCAATTAAGTGAGACATTTTAGAAAGATAAATATTACTTTGGACAAATATTCTAATAGTTAAGATTATAGAATATTAATCCTTAAATACCTATAAAAATCTTAAAAGATAAATAATATGAATATGAGACAGTACTATGTCAATTTTTCATTGTAATAATATATTGAAAATAGGAAAAAAGCCCAAAAATAACCTTGAGGTATTCGAAATGGATCAATTATAACCCCCGTTTAAATTTGAGTCCACAAATGACCCTGCCGTTATAGAATGTGTCTAATAATGCCCTTTGTGTTATTTGAAATGGATCAATTATAACCCTCGTTTAAATTTGAGCTCACTAATGACCTTGTCGTTAAAGAATGAGTCTAATACTGCTATTTCCCTCAGTTAGTAATAATTAGGGGTGTAAATAGATATTTAAAAACCGACTAAACCGACAAAACTGTACCGTGCCGAACAGATTTTTAGGTTTCTTTTAATAAAACCGTATGTTTTTATATAAACCTATAATTGTACCGATAATTAGGGTAGATTTTTTATTTTATAAAAATAAACCGAAAAAATATTGAACCGTACCGAATAAATTTACATGTGAATATATGTTTTACATGTAAATATATTCGAACCGTACCGAATAAATTTACATGTGAATATATGTTTCACATGTAAATATATCGGACCTATTATTAGACACAGTCTAAATATATATTTCACATGTAAATTTATTCGGTATGGTTCGATATTTATATATTAAGTTTAAAAATGATAATGAGTCTAATATTTATACAGAATGGGTTGAATAAGTTTAAAATTTGAGCCCACTAATGACCTTGCCGTTAAAGAATGGATCTAATATTTATATTTATAAATAATAATATATTAATATAAATAATGTATAAATTTTAATACATTATTATTTTTAAATTTAATATATAAATATATATTTCACATGTAAATTTATTCGATACGGTTCGATATTTTTTCGGTTTATTTTTATAAAATAAAAAACCTACCCTAATTATCGGTACGGTTATAGATTTACATAAAAACCTATAATTTTATTAAAAGAAACCTAAAAATCAGTTGGGCATGGTACAGTTCTGTTGGTTTAGTCGGTTTTTAAATATCCATTTACACCCATAATCATTACTAAATGAGGAAAATAGCAGTATTAGACACATTCTTTAACGGCGAGGTCATTAGTGGGCTCAAATTTAAACGAGGGTTATAATTGATCTATTTCGAATAACACAAGGGCATTATTAGACTCATTCTATAACGGCAGGGTCATTTGTGGACTCAAGTTTAAACGGAGGTTATAATTGATCCATTTCGAATACCGCAAGATCATTTTTGAGCCTTTTTCCTTGAAAATAAATTGATAGAAAGGTAATTCTAGAAAAAATGTTTCCTCTTCTATGAACAAACTAATAAAAATATAAACAAATAAAGCTATAGGAATAAGGGTAATTTCTTTTCTTTCATAGTAAACTAACCAATTATCCAAATATTTCAATATAAATAGAAAGCCAAAAAAAGAACTCATAATTAGCAGGCCGGTACATTACCGCCGTTAGTAACAAACCTTAAAGTACAGTATCAATTGCTCTACTTTTCCGTCAAAATCTGTCGTCATCCAAACAACCTGGTCCCACAGTTCTTAAATTTTATTTTGATAAAATTTTAACTTGATGTTAGGTAACTACATTCCGATTAATTCTTATGACCTTAAGGCTTGTTATGAGAAAAAACATGTAAAAATTACATTAGTTAGCCATTTTAAAGAGCTGTTATTTAGAAATTAATTAGTGTATTCTATCAATAAAGGTTATGATAGAGTGATAATTAGTCCTTCATCCTTAAATAGAGGTCTCGAGTTCGAGTCCCTGAGTATAAAGCCGTCTTTGTTAGAGAGCGTTTTACCCAAATATGAGATTTTTCGACGCGAATTCGGATTTAATCGGATCCCAATGTGAGAACCGAATACCCGGTGAAAAATAAAAAAGAAGAAAAAACTAATGTATTCTGAAATAAAGTTTTTCAATTTAATTTTCACGATAAAAATATCATGAATTGTTGTGAAGTTAAAATTTTTAGTACAAATTAAAATCCTAGACATTAGTTTTAAATAGAAGTTAAAACTAATCTATTTAAGAAGGAAAGGTGGTATTCATTACATTACAGTCCATGATAATAATAATCTGATTACAAAGTTAGAAACTAACCATAGTTAAAAGTGAGTCGAAGCAAGCGTTACAAACCAACCAACCACCCCCGTTGTCTAAGGCTCTGCTCCCTCACACTACACAGATGAAAAAAGGAGACAAGCACGTTCTCTGCAATAGGCGATAGAAAGCAACAAATCAAGCCATATATTAAGCTGTTTTTTGTGTACTCTGTAACGGCGTTTTCTCAATTTCTCTCTCTCACCCCCAATTTTTTCACCTTATTCACAAAAAAGAAAATTATTAGCTGCCTGCTCCTCTTCTTCCTCTGTTGCAGTAGTAGTAGTACTATTGTTTGCATTTATTTTTCTCAAGTACTATACATATAGTAGGACTTTACAACACTTTAACTGTGGTATTATAAAGGGGTGGTGAATTTAGCCAGTTTTTTGGGATGTTCTTTGTGTTAGTTTCTTGATTCAGAATTTTGGGTCTCATTTTGTTTAGCTTTCTTTGCTTATATTATGGAGAATAATGGGTGTTATCAGTCTCAGCAGCAGACCAATTTTTCAGTTAAAGGTTTGATTTTTACTTTTGTTTTTTTTATAGTGTTTGAATTGTAATTTGAGAATTTTGGACCATTTTTTTTTTATTTTTTTGTGGAAATGTTTCAGGTAAAGATGATCTGTACCAAGGGTTATGGAAGTTGTGTGCAGGTCCATTAGTGGATGTACCAAAATATGGAGAAAGAGTTTACTATTTCCCACAAGGTCACATGGAGCAAGTAAGTTTTTTTTTTTTTTTTTTAATTTTATTTTTATTATAATTTTTGGGTTTTCCTATTTTAGGTCTATATGTTTGATTCAAAGTTAAGTTCTTGGTTTGGAGTTATGGAGTTAATTTTGGTGTCAATTATTGGATTTTTCTCTTTTTGAGTATCTATTTTGGGTTTTTACTATTTATGGGGATTGTAAAAATTGTGTCTTTACTTTTTTGTCCCACCTTTTTTATTTTTGGTTTGGATAGTTGGAAGCATCAATGAATCAGGAATTGAATCTGAGAATTCCATCATTCAATCTTAAACCAAAGATCCTCTGTCGTGTTATTCACACTCAGCTCCTGGTATGTTGCACTTTCCTTTTTTTGACATTTAAAGATATTTACTTTTACTGTATTTTTTATCAGTATATTTACTTATATTGTAGTATTTCATCCAAACAGTGACATATTAATTGTGGGGTTCAAGCAATTTTTTTTTTGGGTGATGAAACAAATTTGATGAGTGATTTTTCGACGTAATTGTTGTAGGCTGAGAAGATACTGATGAGGTCTATGCCCAAATTACTTTGATGCCCGAAGCAGCTGAAGTAAGAAGTTAAAAGAACCTCTTTTCATACTTTGGAAATTTATGTTGTATGTTGTAGTATTCAACTCAGTTTGGCTGTAACTGAATTTAGCAAGCCGAACCGACTAGTCAAGATCCATGCCCGCCCGAGCCTCAGAGGCCTAAAGTTCATTCCTTCTGCAAAGTTTTGACTGCATCGGATACGAGCACTCATGGCGGATTTTCTGTTCTTAGGAAACATGCTAATGAATGTCTTCCACCCCTGGTAAATATTAACTGATCTTTTCATATATAGTCTACGGTTTGTCTCCTTTTGACAAATTGATGCATTAGCTCTCTTGCTGTTACCTTTTGTTAGGACATGAACCAGCAGACTCCAACTCAAGAATTGATCGCGAAAGACCTTCATGGTACCGAGTGGCACTTTAAACATATATTTAGAGGTAATTCTTCTGGAACAAGGAGATTGCAACATTTCGTTGCAAGGATCAAAAACTCACTCTTGATGTTATAATTAACAGGCCAACCTCGGAGACATTTACTTACCACAGGGTGGAGTACCTTTGTTTCTTCAAAGCGATTAGTTGCTGGGGATTCTTTTGTATTCTTGAGGTATCTCTCTTTAGTCGTGGTTTCTACGAGTGATATTCAATTGCATAAATTTGCATGACATCACAGGCAGAGCCAAGATTTTAACCGTATGGGTTCTGGATTTTAGAACGATGACTTAAAGTGCTAATGATTTGGTTGTAAATTTAATATTTGGACATATTTAATGAATTTGTTAACACAAATACATTGTTTGAGCAAACTCTACTTGGTCGGCCGAACCCGTAGCTCGGCTTCTGCCTCCGCCGATGCATGACATATCTCTAGAACAGTTAGTGTTGATTTGCTTATAATAATTATATTCTGTGGATATGTTGGTTCTAGGGGTGGGAATGGAGAACTACGAGTTGGTGTTAGACGGCTTGCTCGCCAGCAGAGCTCGATGCCATCATCGGTGATATCAAGTCAGAGCATGCACCTAGGAGTCCTAGCTACAGCATCTCATCCTGTTACAACCCAGACCTTGTTTGTTGTTTACTACAAGCCGAGGTTTGTCACATATATTTCCTTTCAATTTACCATCCTTGTGCAAAGTAGAGATCACTTTTCATTGCCAGAGAACATATTAAATCTTTCATATATTCTTTAAATTTTTCTGCTGTGACAAAACATTTCAGAACCAGTCAGTTTATCATTGGCCTCAACAAATACTTAGAGACTGTTAAACATGGATATTCAGTTGGCATGCGGTTTAAGATGCAGTTTGAAGGAGAAGAGAGTCCTGAGAGAAGGTAGTGAGATATAAATGTCAACAAGTCTTCGACTTAGATGTTTATTTGGCAACTGCTTAGTACTGACCTGTTTCGGGTTTTTCTTGAGCTATTCCTGTATTATTTCTCAGATTTACCGGCACTATAGTTGGGATTGAAGATCTTTCCTCACAGTGGAAAGATTCTACATGGCGATCTTTGAAGGTTGATATAGTTAATATAGTTGGTTGAGTGTTTATGTTCAGCAATATTCATTAGGTTCAGTAGGTAATTAACATTTTCTACCTTCATTACAGGTTCAATGGGACGAGCCGGCATCCATTTCAAGACCCGACAGAGTTTCTCCTTGGGAAATAGAACCTTTTGTGGTTTCAGTTCCGAATCCACTTGTCCCGCCAATGGCAGGGAAGAATAAAAGGCATCGACCACATAGTGAAGCCAAAATTTCAGGTTATTCTCAACAGCATGGTTTTTTTCTTGTGTTGGTTTATTTAATTTTCATTTTCTTAATTAGTTTGCCTTTATGCTGCTAGAACCTGCATCCTCAATTGCATCAGCGGTTTGGAATCCTTCCACTGACTCGCCTCAATTTAACACCACTGGCATCAACAGCAGTACTAATTGCATGCTAACGTCTCATACAGACAGTGTTTGTGGTTGGCGGCTTCCTCATTTACATACTTCTTCAAGTATGCTTGTGGATGAGACGGAAGACACTAAAAGTGCTTCAGCTTGGTCTGGTTTTCCAAGCGTTTTGTCCTCGCAATTCAGTAATGGGACTAATCAGCCGATTCTTAGTCCTACCGATGAGAGAAAATGTGATACCATCACAACCTGTAGATTATTTGGTATTGACTTGAAAAGTACCTTAATCAGCACTACCGAAGCACCACTACCAAAACCAGCCAACATTTCTAATGTCTTTGCCGAGAGAGCATCTCCAAACACAGTGCCTGCTTTTGATTCAGATCAAAACTCTGATCTTTCAATTGATTTCAAAGATCAAAAGCAAGGCCAGTTGCAGTTACTCCTAAAAGAGGTTCAAAGCAAGCAAAATTGTTCCACCCGGAGCCGCACCAAGGTATTAAATCAAAAGGCAGAAAATTGTAGCATTACAAATTTATTATTGTCTTGAAAGATATTATTAAAACTCAAACACTTATTTGTGTGGGGAATTACTTGAGAAGGTTCAAATGCAAGGGGTAGCTGTGGGTCGTGCAGTGGATTTAACCGCACTGAAAGGATATAATGAGCTTATAAAGGAACTCGAGGAGATGTTTGAAATCCAAGGAGAACTTCACCCGCGAAATAAATGGGAGATGGTTTTTACAGATGATGAAGGAGATATGATGCTTATGGGTGATCATCCATGGCTGTAAGTTCTCTTTTCCGCCAATTCAAGACAGATATATAACCAATATATAAGATGTCTGCTACTTCCATATCTTAATACTATTTGCTCAATTACTTAACTGCAGAGAGTTTTGCAATGTGGTGAGGAGGATATTCATTGTTTCCAGTCAAGATATGAAAAAATGGAGTGCAGGAAACAAAGTTCTGTCGTGTGCAGCAGACAATGAGGCGATTGCTTTCTAAGTTGAATCATTTTTTTCATCTCTTCGACTTGAGTCTCCAAATATCATCTCTAAAGAAAAAGGGGTGTTCACATAGCACGACGTTAAACTCCCTTTTCTTTCTTCCATGTTAGGTTGTTGGAAGAGTCATGGTTGTAAGATCATCGAGGTTTTAGCTACTTCATGCTCGGTTTTGAGAGCAGCTAAGTGTAATTTAACTGGTTGTAGTAGGATCAACTAGTATAGGAATAGTATTAGAAGTTGTGAATAGTTGATGGTACTTCTAATGGGGGGAGTCTGGTGGTTTTTCAAGTGTTATATGTATTTTGTAAATATTCATGTGTCATTTTAAGAAGTCAAGCATTCTGTATCACAATGCATTGTCCTGTTATTCTGCTTCAACTTAATGAAATGAGACAGTGGAAATTGCTTGATGCCTATCCTTTCTGTATGTACTTATTAATAAGAAATTAACAATTAAACTAGTTTTATTTATCAAATAGCAAATGTTCATACAAAATGGAATAGCCACTCTATGGCGTGACACCTTTCGCTCGTCCATTCCGCCCGTCCTGATGCCGTGCCCTTTCCCATTATCATATATCGCCCTTTCTTTCCTTTCGGCTATTCATGCATGAAGATCGTCGTATGTATGTTCGGTGCTATAATAGGTAGAAGTATATTATGGCAGGATCAGTCACCTGGGAACAAAAATAAGATGGCTAGAATTTATTGGATAATGCAAATGTTTTATAGTAGCACGAATTTTGTGCAGACAAGAGATGACATTATTCAGAAAACTTTTATTTATATCTTGTTCTTCATTATGCTAGTGTAGAATCATTTTCTTTTTCACTATATGAGGCAGTAACAATGTTCCAGTCAAAGATTTACTATTCATTCTCAATAAGGTAAATAAAAGATCTGTTAGTTGGGTTATGTACATGTATTTAAAGGTCTTTTTTCTCTTCATGGTTTTAATATTAACCTAACTAGCCGCTTATCCAACCACTTAAACTAAAAATAGACGATAAATGTACAATATATATATACATATATATATATATA